TTGTATTTGATCCTAATTCCTTGTATTGTTTATATCATTGCTGTTATTTATTTATGAAAAACTAAACTAAGTCTATGAATGCATACTTATATGTGTGCATATATAAATGTACATAATACCTCTTGCTATTATTTTTGAATGAATGTTATATATTAGAAAAATGAAAATAAAAATAAAATATTTTGTTATACCTTCATTTATTCCTTTTTTTCTCTTTTCTTTATGTAAGTCTGAGTTTTTGACCCATAAGTTTTACTTTACTGTCCACAAACTTAGCCCTCTTAGTAGGGTGGGTCTACTGAGAAGATTGCCTCTGTTTTTGTTTGAGAAAATTCTTATTGTTCCTTTACTTTTGGAGGAAAATTTCACAAAACAGAATTCTAGGCCGGTGTATTTTTTTCTATCAACATGTTCAACATTTCACTCAACTATCTTCCTGCTTGAATGGTTTGTGAGGAAAAAAATCAGATATAATGCTTATCTCTACTTCTCTCTAACTTATTTTCCACCCTCCAGCTTTTTTCAGAATTTTCTCTTTATCTTTGATTTTTTTTCCTTGTAGTTTGAATATGACATGATCAAGCATTGTTTGTTTGGTTCTTCCTTTCTCTTTTTTGTGATTATCTTTCTTGGTGGTCTCTGAGCTTTCTGAATCTGTGACTTGGTGTTTGACTTTAATTTGAAGAAATTCCCAGCCACTCCATTTCTTGGTCTCTTACTTATCTTCTGTTATTTTTGTTATATGTACTTTCATACCTTTCCTTCGCGATATTGTGAATTTCTTGACTGTTTTTAATCTTTTTTTCTATTTCTGTTTTAGTTTTTGTGATTCTTATTAGAAAGTCCTCAGAGTCAAATATTTCTTCTGTTGTGTTCCATTTAATAAGCCTATCATTGACCTTCTTCATTTCTGTCATAGTGATTTCTTTTGACCTTTAGCTTTTCTTTCTGGTTCTTCATTGGGATTTTCATTGCTGTGTTTACATTGCTCATCTGTTCTTGTGGTAGCCTACTCTATCAATTAGCATCTTTAACACATTGACTGTAGCTGATAAAATCCCCAGTCAGATAATTCTAACTGATCTGCCATTTCTGAATCTGGTGCTGATGCTTGCTCTGGGTCTTCAAATTATGTTTTTTGCTTTTAGTATGCCTAGTAATTAGCTAGATATGAGGTACTGGGAAAAAAATATGCTGTAAATGGGCCTTTAATAATGTGATGGTAAGAAGTGTTATAGTTTGTGCTGTTTAATTTCTAACAGCAGCATATTAGGGGAAAATATTGAAACAATTCAGAATTCTGGAATATGGGTTGCTTACTTTTTTTCAGTAGCAAACTGTCTTAATTACTTATTTCTCATTGCTCAGACAAAATACCTGACCCTCATAATTAAAGGAGGGAAGGTTTATTTTGGCTCACAGATTGTAGAGGTTTCAGTCCATAATTGGCTGGTTCCAAGGCAGGGTGGCAATGCAGAGGAGTATTGCAAAGGAGAAATAATTCACAGAAGGCAGGAGGGTAGCAAAGCAGTGAGTAGCAAGAAAGCAGCAGCAATCTTTCTGTCTCTTTATGTTCTACACAGGTTACACCTCCTTGGGTCTGGTAGCACTTATACCAGGATAGGCCTTCTCATTATCCACACTCAGAACTGTGCCAAACCAATCAGTGGACCAATTTAGTAATCACACTCCCTTGATCACACAAATAATCTCAACATCACGCAATCTAGATCCAGTCACTTCTGAAAAGTCCAACCTATGAATGCATGAGGCTTTAGGGGACATCTAGATACAAGCCGTAACACAAAATTTCTCTTCATTTCAGTGGCCGTAATCTCTTTTACTGTTGAATGAGACAAATCACAGCCTGGAGCTGCTCTGTTATTCTGTGTAAAAAATCTGCCCTTCCTGTGGATTTTTAGAGCTCTCTGTAGTCACTGTAGTATTTATACACTGCATTCTAATGACTCATTCTTTTCATTTATTAACTGTACATACATGAGCATCTATTTTTTAAGGTCTGCTTTGTGTCATTCTCTAGGCTGTGTACAGGAATATAGCATGGAGTAGTCAGCAAGATAAATGCCATCCTTACTCTTTCGGAGCTCATCTTTTCCTTCTTTTTCCAGAGTGTTACAAGACTAAAGCCATAAAACTGCTATTGTCTTCCTTCTTATATCTTCTGTTTACTGCCCAGTGCCACACTTTTCACACTCAAAAAACTGTTTCTTTGATAAGCAAATAAATGAAAAATAGAAAGCTATTATTTCATTTACTTTTTCTACAAAATATTTGGACATTCAGTAAAAGGAAATCCAACAGATATTTTTATGTTTCTACAACTCAGGCAATTTAACATATTTTAAAATTGGCTGCACATGGTGTGACTGATGTTTCACACTGAGTTGTTCCATTGTTCTGAAGTCAGTCCATGGTTGGAAAAGTCAGATTCTCTGGGTAGTATGTAATCACATTTCATTGAATCTTCCCCTCCTCTGTGAAACTATTAGATTCTTCTGCTTATATACAGATGTTGTTATAGACATGGTGCAAGAGAAACCCTCACCTTTGACAGCTGACTGTATTTCTCTAGAAATAATAGTCAATATTTTATGTAGAATTACAGTTAGTCCCATTTCCTATTTTATTCAATCTCTTCAGTGGCCTGAAGAGAAGACGCTAGTGTTTCTTTGAGAACAGAACACTGTATGGCATTTCTTTTATATGACTAAGATTTGCAGCTATTTTTCAACTTCTTATCTTTTCATTTTAATCCTTTCCATTTAAGATTTTCTTGCAACACCTAGGTTTTCTTTCTTTTTTTCTTTTTTTTAATTTAAATTTAAAATGTTTTAGTAGTACATTTCCAATACATAGTGATTACATTCCTTACCCGGAGTTGGCACATCTACATGACACACCTCAATTCTTTTTCTTCAACTCCTTCACCTCCTCCCATTTCCTCTCCTTCCCATATAAGAAAGATCTGTATCCCTACTTCTTATTATCTGTCCTCTATTTTGTTTATTTATATTTTGGGTTTTTCATATAACAGAAACCATGTGATAGTTAAGCTTGTGTTTCTCTTCCAGTATATGTATGTGTATATATTGTAATGTTTAGAAAGGCAAGCTATGGATTCCAGTTCTGTATCTCATTAGCTGAATGTTAGTAGGCATGCTACTTAACTTTTCTAAATCTCGGATTCTTTGTCTGTGTGGTGCAGTAGGGTCTGGCGATACCTATCCAAAGTTTATAACAAGTATTAAACTAAATAATATATGCAAATTCATTAACAAAGTGCCTAGTACCTGTTGCTTACTACTATTATTACTGTTGCTGTTACTGCTATAGTTGATATTAATGCTGCGTGGTGGATTGTGCACCCCTAGGACTCTAGGATCGCTTCTGCAACTGCTTTTATACAGAGTCTGTGCTCTAATAATTGCTTTTAAAATCAATGGATGAAAAGTGAAAAATAAATTAGTTAATAAATCTTATAAATTCTGATTCAACATGCTAGGACAAGAGGTATTTTCCTTTTGTTAGAATACAATATTCTTGGAGATTCAGTGACATAGTGTGAAAAATTATTTAGATTTATAAAACTGAGAATGTTCCTTATAACATAGAATTTATAAATATATACAGATTAAGAGGTATTAACTTAAAACTGTTGGATAATATAAATAGCTACCCTTAAACATTTGCCATTGGCATTTTAATGAAATGTTATTTTACAACTTCAAAGCTCACAGCAATATAATTAGTAATATGTGTAATCTTTATTACTAATCTTAATCTTTTTTATATGGCTGAAAAATTATTTTATGGTAGTACAATTAAAATAATGCTAAAAATGTCAGTATAACAGAATTAAACCAAAGTAACTACTACAATATTGTATCCCAAACCAGCTAATTTAAATGCAAAATACTTTGTAAAGGCTATTTATCTGGGCTAATGCATGTTAAGGGATTTAAGGAGTAGTTTGTATAACGGAAATAAAAAGAAAAATAAGCACTGTACAGCAATTTTTGCTATTGTTAAACATGAGGGAAATATTAAATAGGTTTATATATAGGCCACTTGAGGAAAATCTATTAGAAGCCACATCACAGAATAGTAAATATAAAGGCAACTGGCAGGCAATGCTATATTTATAGGCTTTTAAAGGGAAAGCTTGAGATGCTTAAAATTGTCCTTTTACAAATAATAAGATAAAATTAACTATGATAACTGCACTGAAGATGCTCACAATTCTAACAATATGCTTTGTAAAAGGGATTTCAAAAGTAAGATAGATGTTTAGTTTGCTTATAGCAGTGGCTTGAGTTTTTTCTAAATGTTTGCATCTATCAATTCATAAATAACAACTTGACCAGTTTATTATTTTGTAGCTTATAATATGGAAAGGTTTTCAAATTAGATTTCTACAGTAACTGCCTCAACGTGGAAACTTCAGAAGATACAGAAAAGTAGAAAGGCTTACTGAAATTTTCACCACTTCTAGAGTGTCACACATGATATTTGTATATACATTTCTAGTTCTCTAGTTTCTGCTCCCTCAGGGACAATTTTTAATTTTCTGAATGAAAAGTTTTTTATAGTGCACAGAATATTTTGTTTAATTAAAGATTACAAGGAATACATATTATATAGAAAATAGTTTAAAATGCAAACCAAGTACATTTGCCATTGTTTTGTGTTAGGTCTTCCTTTTTCAGACCTTCAAAGAATTGTTGCTTTTATATATTTATTCCTAATTGTTAGTGGTAATCATTTTAAATACTGGTTAGCATTGAAATTATTTTAGTAGTTTAAGTTACTTCTTAAAAACCACAGTCTGTTAAAATTTGGTGTTAAACACAGTCTTAGACTATAGGTCTGTGAAGCATTAGTTGTCTTTATGGGTTTACTCACAGTTCCAAACCTGGAAGGGAAACTTTGATTCACCGGATCATGCTCCATGTTGTGTGTGTTTGGTTTTGATTCTGTAGGTCCCAGCACATCTGGAAAGTCCTGCAAGGCCTCCACTACAGAAGGCCCAGAGACAGCAAGTAAAATCCTTCATGACCCTTGACCACCAAATCGTCAATCAGACTCTCAAACGGTCACACTCTGCCACATCAAGCTGTGGTCTTCTGGCACAGAATGGATACACATATCCTGACAGTGCCACTGGCCTTGCAGGAAATCCACTCACCAAATTGCTAGCTCTCGGAGAAGATGTCAGAGCGGAATGGCATGTATGTCTAACAGCATTATGAATACTTTATCATCAGCTTCTGAGAAAAACACGGTTTAAAAAATTGAAATCAATACTTAGAGTAAACATTCCAAATCCAACTTAATTTAACAAAGGAAATGTGTTTTAAAATAATTAATCTGTGATCATTAATTATACGTCATTTCTATGCATAATAAATTATAGCAATTCATTTTACCCATTTCAGTGAAGCACTAATAAGTGCCAAAATAATCACTTATAGTAATGTGTTTAGAAGATTTAACCCTAATTGTAAAAGTTTTCTAAGTCTCTTTAGATAAAATATTTATTAATAGTTATATTATCTTAAATAACTTCTAACATAAAGCAGGCAGAAATGGCAGTAAATTGGTTCTTTAAAAATGTTTATTAGAATAAGACTAATGATCCTATTATATTTAATATTTTACTCAAAATTATATGTATTTTTGAAATTTTTATTTTCAAGACAGTTTCAATTCTCAACAAATTTTGTCTATCGTTTGCTAAGTTATAAGAATTGAGCAGTGCTGAAGATACAAAATAGATTAGAAAGTCTAGTTTTGTGGAATTTGTTTACAGTGACTTGCTTTTAAATGAATTTTCAAAAAATGCTGAGGAATAAATAAAACTGGAAATGAGAACTTTGAAAAAGACTTCATAAATATCTCAATGTAGAAAAACTACACCAAAAAAAGGAATCCTCTTTTCTATTCTTTTTTCCATTGTATTTCTTAGATTGAACCATGTTCCTTTGATTTCCCAGGTTTACTCTTCCAATCTAAATTCCTAGTGATTGTTGCTGATTTAAGGATGATGTTTTTTAGCTATTAAGGGTGCAGCCTCTTGGCACAACAATTCAGTGCTCAGAATCTCATTTTTTAATCCAAGGTTTTTAAAAGCAAATTTTATACCAATCTGGCAAAGAAAAAGAATAGAATCTGGGAGATTTTTAAATGAAATATAGAACAACCATACAATAGGAGTCTGAAATCCAAAATGGAATGTAAATCTCTCCATGTGTATTTACTTAAACTTTTCAATAATGGATGTATAAAGAATGTAAAAAATAGAATTGTAAAACCAGGTTCTTTATTCACTTTGTGAAGATCATAAAAATATATGTAGGATGAAAATCATCTGCACGGTAAATATTAGAAATGTACCCAACGCAGTTTATCTTACAACCGGCTCTTCTAAGGTCCGTTTTCCTGTGTGGAAGATGGATTTTTTTAAAGGAAAAATGTTCCAAAGGATATGAATATATCAGTTAATTTTAATTAAAACCCAGAAAATAATTTTGTATTTTATAAAACATGCTTTCTTAAAACTTAGATAAGCAACATATATCAATTTTCTGAATTTTTTTTTTTTAGTATGTTTTTATTCCTCAGACTATACACTTTACCTTTATGGTTATAGTAAATTTCTACATATTTGTACAGGATGTTTGTGTAGCCCTGGCGGTCCGTTAGTTGGTCTCAATCAAAGAATTGCATGGTTGGGAAGGTTTGGAAGGCCCAAGTATTACAGTTGTGAAGGACAATGTGAACACTGACTGCAGACATTGTTTTCTATTTTTTTACCATTATGTTTTATCTCTACAAGTGTCGAAATTCCATTATTAGTTTCCATTTAATCACAGTTTTCTTCAATCTTTAATAGTTTTAGTCAGCAGTAGTCTCTTTGAATTTAACTTACCTTCCTGCCATCATTCCCAGACTTACTGTCTTTCATGGCTAAGATGTATCCTATGGTTTTGCAATCTCTTAATGTCCTTTGATTGGTGCTGGGAGACTGTGTCTCATAGCCTTTACATAGACACAGATAATATAATAGAGAACCACTACCTACTAGGTCTTACTCCTAACCTTTCTCAGATATATTCCCATGCCTTGAAGAGTGGATTCCATGTTTACATTTTAAAAATTCTAAACACAAAGGTAGAGTGGGAGCTCCGGAGGTGGTGATGGCTATCATGTTTTGGTGTTTCTTTCTCCTAAGCCTTGTCCTTATGTGAGATTAGAGGACATTGCACTAATTCAAAGAAGACAAAAGAAGTCACAGGTACCATAGGATAAGTGTGAGAGCAAGCCTAGGCTGAAGGTATAGCGTGACTGGAATGGGAATTCTCAAACGTGTGTATTAAAGAACTTGAAGAGAAAGAGGCATCTACAAATAAAAGAAGTATTTTCTAGCACGTGTAAGATAAAATTCAAATTTGAACTTAAAGCACGTAAGACACTGCCTCACTTAACTCCGGTGCCTGGACCCAATATGTCATTTGGAGTCTCCATGGTACCGTGGGTGCTTCTGCCTTAAGGATTTATTAGTGGCTCTCATGATGGCTAAGTTCTCCTTCTTATATCCTTTCTCTGCCTCCTTCTCATTCAATCTCAACCATACATCTGAAAAGTTCCAATTTGCTCTAAAAAAATTGATTTCATTTTTTTTCTCTAAGGTGCTTTCCCTGCTGATTCTGTCTTGATTTGGTGGCAATCCTGAGTTTTCACAGCAATTCCTATCTGTATAAACAATATACTTATTGTGGCATTTTCACATCATATGTTATGTTTTAAGTATTCTTTAGATTTTTTTCCCTTATTCTATAGCTGTACGCCCATGTCCTAAGTCAAGTTTCTGACAAATAATATTCACTATATTTTTTGGCAAATGGATGATGAGTTCAGTGGGCCCTGTTGACCCATAGTTTCTAACATTTATTGTCTGCTTTGTCCACTCAGAGTTTGAGCCCCATGTTGGCTGTTGTACCCCCAGCTTGTAAAACAAATCCTCACAATAAATAGCATTTCATAAATATTTGTAAATTAATATGTAACTAGTGTTCTACCCACATCATGGGAAGTGCACAGTACTACCCTGATTAATTTAGCTTTCACAGTATCTTTGAGTTTATCTCATAGTGTAAAATTTTAATAAAGAAAATACAATGGGAGAGGAGAGAGCTCAAACTCACATGAGAGAGACACAATGTGTTTCTTTTGAAACTGTGTTTTTTGAAAAATCTTCATCGGTTTACATTTTCTCTACAGAGAGAAAGAAGGTTAAAGGAGTTGAGGAAGACTACAGTGCTGATAACTGTTACTAGGGCTTCCCAGGCAGATTTCCAGGAGGACATTTCTGCCTCTGAGGCTCACTACACCCTCCAGGGTGCTACTGAACTTCTCATTTTCTTAACTGTAAAATGGACACAATAGTAGTAACCACACCATGGGTTGTTGAGAAGATTAAATGACCTGATGTATGCCTGTCACTTAACATAGTGCTTGGCACATCTCTGGCAGTATGAGTGTTTGATGTTGTTAACTGTTTAATGAGTGTTGTCATTATTGCTAGTACTGTTATTATTTATTGGTCATTAGAGAAGTTGGGATAACGTTTTTATGTACTGTATTCTATGTCAGCTAAAATTTGCCCATTGGCATTTACATAGCTGTCTGTACATAGCAACCAATCTATTTTAAGAGAAAAAAGAGTAGAAAGTTGCCCCTCTATACATGAATAAGTTTGTGGGCTCGGGCATGCGATATTTCATGAGACCCACTCTATAGATGTACCTACTGATTTCCAAGGGAGTGGCCCCGGATATTTTGCCAAGCTGTCACCTGTGAGTTCATGGAAACAAATGCAAGGAAAAAAAATAAAAAAACCTGTGTGTCAGAACACATAATTTTCATTTCTCAATATTCTAGGTATACATGTATCTTCAGTTTAAGCAGTCTAAAAACTTTTAGAGATGATTAGAATTCTCCTCTATAATTTCAGATAGTACTTCCCCTTTTATCATTATGCACAATATTCTAAATACATTATATTTTGCCAGATGGAGGACGTTATTGAGGATGTGATTGGTATGGAATCAAGTTTTAAAGAAGAAGGAACAGACTCTCCTGTGCTAATGCAAAGTACAGTAAGTGTTTCTAGGCCCAAGGAAGTCAGAGACTAAATGGATGGTGCATTCTGCTGATTAAAAAAATAAATTTCATTTCATTTGTAAGTGGTGCTTTCTTCTGTGGTTTTGAAATAGATGCAAAATAATGGATGGATATTAGAAAATATTTGTTGGTACAAACGAGACTCTTGTGTTATTATTTATTTATTTATTTATTTTGGTACCGGGGGTCGAAATTGGGTCTTTTCACTTATGAAGCAGGGACTGGAACCACTGAGCTAAACCCGCAGACCAACTCTTGTGTTTTTGAGGACAATTATAGGGCTCACACCATTCTCTCTGTGTCTCTGGGTATCTATTTCCGCATCTATCTATGCTCTGTATACATGCATCAGATTATTTAATCTGCTATATTATTTGCTGTGAGCAATTTAATCTTCAAATTTCCTATTTGAGGCATGATATGTATTCAAATATCTTCATGAGATCATGACTTGGTTTTGACTGTTTTACCATGACTAGTACCTGTGATTCTCAGGAGCTCTACATCTTTGTGGAGGACAGAAAAAGACCACAATAAAACATACAAATTCATTTCTGAGCCAATAATGAGAGATTGAAGATGAAGTACAAAAAAGGTGGAGCAGGCCTCACCCTACTTTGAAGTGTGTAAAAGACTTTGGTGTTGAAATCAGCAGGAATTCCAGGAATAGTATTCAAAGAAGTAATGGTATCTTATCTCCTACTCAGTTGCTATTGCTTTCTCAGGGCTCACTTGTTAGACAGAAGACGTCCTATCAGTAAAGACCTTGGAAGAACTTCCCCGCCCATATTATTGTTGGTTTGTATATGTTAAGACAACATAAGAGAAAAGAATATGAAGGATTTTAATTGAATTGTTTTAAAGATTTCGTTTGAAGAAAGTGAGGAAATACATTTTGAAACCTGAAATAGACATTTTGTGATTTCAATTTTTAATTTTATTGCTACGTATTTGCAATTCATAATGATTACATCCATCATCAGGAATGACACATGCACATAACACATCTGTTCATCCGTATACTATGTTATGAAGAGTGATAGGCCTTAAGCAACCTATCTGGGGGTATAGCTCAGGGGTAGAGTGCTTGCCTAGGTGTGTTTGCAACAACAACAACAAAACAGAAGATACTTTTTGAAATCATCTTCTTTCCCCTTTATTATTTTCTAGACTATCTAATAAGGAAAATACCTTTTCTCTACATTTTTGTGCTATACATAGCTTTTTATGTAATAAGTCACCTATTCTATTGCCAAAGTAAAGATAACGTTTAAAACATAACTTTAGTTGTAGGATTTTTTTTTAATTTTTTTTTTTAGGACAGAGTAATAACTCTACCTTTCTCTCTTCAGATTTCAAGTAGTACAACTAAAAGAAAACTAATTAATTCTTTTTAAAAATATATTATTAGTGCTAATTTCTCCTTGTCTAACTTTACAGTATGAAAAGACTCTTTTCTCTTTTTTTCTTTCTTTCTTTTTGGTACTAGGAATTGAAGTCAGGACCTTAGGTTTGTGGCACTTACTGAGCTAAATTCCCAGCCCAGAATACTACTTTCTTCACTAATATTCAAGTTCTGTGTTTGAGGACATGATACTAATTTCCTGCAGTAGGCTCTCCCTTGTATGTGACACTTACTTCGCTGCAATTATATATTGAAATGTTCTTGCTCAAGTTATTTCATTTGTTCGGTAAAGGATGTGTAGAGTGGCTTACTCGGTATAAATTGGCGGTAATAAAAATGGGGTGTTTCCTTTGATACAGGGTAGGTACTTTTACAGAGATGAATACCACTGTCCTATCTGTACTAATATTGTAAGAAGTCTTCTATTGGTCCATTAGCAATGATTGATAAGTTTCAATGTATAAGTCTATACTTTTTTATTATAATTTTTTAATTGAGTTTATTGGTACAATCTAGGTCTACAATACAGTTACATTCATTACTGGGGCCCTGTACCTTCACATGACAAGTCTTGGTTCTCATTTTTTCCCCTTGTCCTTGCCCTCCCTTCACTCCCCTCCTCCCCTCCCCATTAACAAACTCTATTTCCATTTTTTCATTTTCTCTTTTCCCTTATTTCCTTGCCCCTACCCTTCCCCCTTTCCTACACCTTTAGCCCTTTTCTTCCTATTTCACACACTTAATTATCCCATTAGGATCTTGTGTACTATTATAGTTTTTCACAGCAGAGAAACTATTCGGTATTTACACCTGTGTGACTTATGTATTTCCCTTAGGAGTATATCCTCAATATGTGTCCATTTTCCTATGAATGACTCTAATTTCTCATTCTTTATGGCTGAGTAGTATTCCATTTTATAGAAAAACCACATCTTCTTTATCCAGTTTCCAACAGATGGACAGATGGGCTGTTTCCAAATTTTAGCTATTACAAACTGTGCTGCTATAAACATTGGTGCACATATATCACTGTGGTATGATTCTTTTAAATCTTTTGGAAAGATACCCAGCAGAGGGAAGGTTGGGTCAAATGGAACCTCTAGACCTAGCTATTTGAGGTTTCTCCATATTGATTTCCATAGTGGTTGCACCAGTCTACACTCCCACCAACAATGGAGAAGGGTTCCTTTCTCCACACAACCCCGCCAACATTTGTTATTGTGTGATTTCTTGATGGCAGTCATTCTTTGTGGGTTGAGGCGATACCCAGCAGAGGGAAGGTTGGGTCAAATGGAACCTCTAGACCTAGCTATTTGAGGTTTCTCCATATTGATTTCCATAGTGGTTGCACCAGTCTACACTCCCACCAACAATGGAGAAGGGTTCCTTTCTCCACACAACCCCGCCAACATTTGTTATTGTGTGATTTCTTGATGGCAGTCATTCTTTGTGGGTTGAGGCGGAATCTCAGTGTTGTTTTCATCTGCATCTCTTGAATGACCAGTGATGTGTAACATTTTTTCATAATTTACTTGCTGCTTTTACTTCTTTGTCAGAAATGTCTTTTTGTCTGAGGAGCAGCTGGTAAAAATTTTTCCCCACATTGTAGGTTGTCTCTTAGTTCTGTTGATGGTTTCTTTTGCAGTGCAGAAGCTTTTTAATAAGATGAGATCCCAGTTGTTGATTCTTTCTGTTAGTTCCCGTGGTACTGAGGATTTGTTCATAAAGTCTTTTCCTATGCCAATGTATTCCAGAGTTCTGCCTAACTTACCTTCTAGCAAGTTTAGTGTTTCTGTTTTAATATTTAGATCTTTAATCCACTTGGATTTTAATTTAGTGCTTTTTAAAAGATAAGGGTCTAGTTTTAATCTTAGGCAGGTTGAGATCCAGTTTTTCAATACCATCTATTAAAGAGGCTATCTTTCCTCCAGTGGGTATAGTCAGCTCCTTTGTCAAAAATGAGATAGCTGAATACATCTGGAGTTGTTTCTGTATCTTCCAGTCTTTTCTACTGACCCTCAGGTCTGTTTCTTTGCCAGTACCATGCTGTTTTTGGCACAGTGGCTTTGCAGTATAGTTTCAGATTGGGAATTGTTATGCCTGCTGCCATGTGTTTGCTGCCTAGGATGGCTTTTGTTATTCTAGGTCTCTTATGGTTCCAAATGAATTTTTGGATTCTTCTTTCTAGTTCTGTGAAGTATAGTGTTGGAATTTCAATTGGTATTGCATTGAATCTGTATAGCAGTTTCGGTAGGATGGCCATTTTCACTATGTTGATTCTTCCTACCCTGGAGCAGGGGATATCTTTCCATTTTCTTATATCCTCTTTGATCTCTTTTTTCAAAGTGCTGTAGTTTTCAGTGTAGAGGTCTTTTGCTTCTTTTGTTAGATTGATTCCTAGATACTTCATTTTTTGGGGTGCTATTGTGAAAGGAATTGTTTCCCTAATTTCTCTCTCAGTGAGTCTGTTATTTGGTTACAAGAAAGCTGTTGATTTTTGGGTGTCAACCTTGTATCCAGCTACTCTGCTAAAAGTGTCTATAAGGTCAAGAAGTCTTTTGGTGGAGTTTTTTGGGTCTTCATTGTAGAGTATCATATCATCAGCAAATAATGACAGTTTAACTTCTTCCTTTCCTATCTTTATTGCTTTAATTTCTTTCTCTTGTCTAATTGCTATGGCTAATGTTTCCAGAACTATATCGAAGAGGAGTGGTGATAATGGGCATCCTTGTCTTGTTCCTGATTTTAATGTGAAGGTTTTCAGTTTTTGGCCATTTAATATGATGTTGGCTGTTGGTTTTTCATAGATAGCCTTTATTAAGTTGAGATATAGACCACCTATTCCAATTTTTTGCAGAATTTTTATCATGAATGGGTGTTGAATTTTGTCAAATGCTTTTTCTGCATCTATTGAGAGGATCATGTGGTTCTTGTCCTGGATTTTGTTAAGATAGTGTATTACATTTATTGATTTACGTATGTTGAACCCTTCTTGCATCCCTGGAGTAAATCCAACTTGGTCAGGATGTCTGATCTTCTTGATGACCTTCTGTATTCTGTTTGCTAGTATCTTATTGAGGATTTTTGCATTTAAGTCTATACTTTAAACAGTTCAATTAACCAAATATTAATTGAATACTTATGAAATACATACTACTTATTTTATGTCTGAATATCCTTGTTGCATCTTTTTTGTTTTTGTTTGAGTACTGGATATTGAATTGGGGACCTTGTGCTTGCGAGGCAGGTGGCGGAACCACTGAGCTAAATCCCAGCCCTATGCCTGGTTATCCTTCCCAAAGCCTCGTGTGCTCAGAGCCAGAGCTTGCGGGAGGTGTTAGGAGGCCTCTGTGGTGATAGGAGGAGGGTCACTGGCTGTGATGTATCTCCTCCCTCTCTCTCATGTCTTGGTCCTCATGGCCTGAGCAGTTTTCCCCTTGGGTCCTTCCTCATTCCCTTTCTGACTTGTAGCTGCCTCTGAACTGAAGCCTGTGCACATGATAAGCTAAAATAAACCTCTCCTCTTAATTTGCAAGTGTGAGGCAATTGTGTCCCAGTAATGAGAAACTG